TTTTCTCTCCCACCCTCCCTTTTTCCCTTTTCTCCCTCCCTTTTCCTTCCTTTTTGCTCCATCCCTCCCTTTTCCTTTCCTCTCCCTCTTTTTTCCCTCCCTCTTTCTCTCCCCCCCCAAACCTGCCCTAGAGGAAACCAGGAGTTCAGAGCGTCTTTTCCAACTAGCGATTTTTATTAAAAGGCAGAAAGTTTTCTTCAGCGACCAGGCAACCCCTCTTTTGGGGGGCCCCTTAGGCGAACCCAGACCTCCTCCTATAACGACCTGAAAGAAACATCCTTGAAAGCATCCGGCAGTGGCTGGCAGACTGGATGCCCTTGGAAGGAGTTGTTCCTCATCCGTGGTGGCTTTTGAGAGACGGACAGAGCTTTCCCAACCCTTCACGGTCTTCACGGGCAGCCCGGGTCCCTTCCCCACTCAAACTGCTTCGCATCCATCCCAAAGCCACAAACCCCCTGCCTCCCCTCCCCCTTGGACCCAGGAGAGCTCACATGGGCCTCCCGCCACCGTCCAGGCAGCCCAAGGGCCGGGCAACACATCGCCACCTTCCGGCCGTGGGTGAGTTCCGCTGTCAGCACAGCCTTCCCTCCCGCTTCAGGCCCCCTCGCTCAGCAGGCGAGCCAGTCCAGGGCGGGAGAGGCGGCTGCTGACAGAGGTGAAGCCTCTGTCGTCCATATCCGGCTCTCCCGGGGCAGCCACATTCATGGAGGAGGAATGGGTGAAGAAGTCCCAGGATGCTCCCAGAGTCAGGCACGCGGTTCTCAGTCGTGAGGGGAAGGAGCTCCGAGCGTCAGCTGATCTTCCAGGCGAGGGGGACGGCGCCCCCCCCCCCAAGACCGGCCAGAGCAGCCGAGGCTCCCACCGGGGCCTCCTCTCCCTGGTCTCGGCCCGTGTGGCCTCCCAAATGTCGTGCCCCTCCCCACTCCCCCCCAACGCTCCCCGGGGCCCAGAGGAGGCTGGGCAGTTTCCGGAGCGGCCTCGGCTTCAGAGGCCATCCCGTCCCCCAGCACTGGGCTCCAGGGCCACCCGGCACCGGATGAACCACGGGGGGGGTGACATGCTGGGGAGGCCCGTCTCAGCAACCGGACGCTGCCATCCAAGGAGCAGAGTGAAAATTGTCTGACGTTTGAGGAATAAAAAGGGAAGCAAAGCCGGAACCGTCCTTAGAACAGGGTGTCTGTACAAAGGGAGGAAGGGAGCCCGGCCGTCGGCTACGGTGGTGGCAGCTGCTGGCGCCCCTCCGTCTCTGCCCGCCAGCGCTCCAGCGTGTGGATCCTCTTCTCCAGGGCCTCCATCTGCCTATGGACAGCCCCAACTGCGGAAGGAGGCAACCGGGGAGGGTCAGGAGGGGCTTTGGGGGGAAAAAGGGGGAAGGGGCTGCCACCCTGCTGGAACAGACCCACAGGTTGGGGGAGGGGGGTCACGGAAGGGGCCGTCCCACTTACGGTTGCGGAGGACAGAGATGCGCAAGTCTTCCAGCGAGCGGTGAAGGGACTCGAGGGTCACCGGAGGTGGCTGCGCCAGGGCATCGGGTAGGGCCAAGGGGGAGGGGCCAGCAGGGGAGGCACTCCAGACCCCTTCGGCCAGTCTCCGGCGTTTACCTGCAAAGAGAGGGCACCTTCTATGCCTCTGGGAGCACCTGAGCCCCAGGGAGATGGAGCTTTGCTCCTGTGGGGCAGAGGGTTCCGCCCTGGAGGGGGCCGGGGGATGGAACATTTGCCCTAAGTGGCTCCAGGATGGTGCTGGAGAGCTTGACTCCCCAAGACCCTGGGGAGGGCTGGGGTTCACCAGTGGACCCCCACCCTCCCGGGAAGGGGCAGCAGGTGCCTCTGGCCAGCCTGGGGGAAGCAGCCCTGGGCATGCTCCCACTGGCCTTGTTCAGGGCAGCAGGTGGGAGGGGCTGTTCCACATGAGGGCTCGGGTGGGGGAGGGGGAGAAGGCAGAGGTCGGGGGGCCTCCCGGGGCTTCCAGGAGGGGCCCAAGACTGGGGAGGCATGGAAGGACCCGCTCAGCTTACCCAGCAGCCCATGGGAGGCAGCTTCTCTGGTCCCAAAGTGGGGGTCCCCCTGGTGGAAAGGAAAGTCAGCAATGGCGGCCAGGAAGGGAGCTCAGGCAAAACAAGGAGCTTCTCCGTGGAATTCCTGGCAAACAGGAAGCCCCTCTCGACACCACCCCACCCCCGCCGGTGTCTTCCTTCCTCAGGCGAAGGCGTCCAGAACAGCCACAACTGGGCTTTGCAAGGACCCTTTGGCACAACAGCCGAAGCAGAAAAGGCGGCGAAAAAGGGGTGAGGCCAATATTCCCCCCCCCCACCCGGAAGAAGCAGCCCAGAAACCTTCCTGGCACCATTTTGGGGCTCTTGCTGAGAGGCCGACTCAGAGGCCCCACTCACCAGGGTGCCAGGGCCCGGGGCTGACTTCGGGCAGGGTGGGTGGGGCTGCTGCTGGGGAGGGGGCTCTGGGCTCAGGCCCGGTGCTGCTGCCGCCGCCATCGGCCCCAAGGATGCGCTTGGACTCTGGGCCCCTGGCAAGGCGTGAGGAGGCAGAAGGGTCACGGCAGGCACAGAGTGAGAGAGGGGGGAGCCGGGGTCCTGGGAGCCGGGGTCCTGGCCCTGCGGGGAGGAAGAACCATCAGCGGAGCATCCAGAAGCTCATCAAACCCCACCAGGGGCCCCTCTTTGCAAAGAGCCCCTGCCCCGACCGAAGGAGGGGGGCAAGTGGAGTCCCCCCAAGTCTTCAGGACCAGTCACAGGGCATGCAGGAGCAGCCACAACTGGCAGGGGGTTGTGGCATCAGATGGCCAACAATTCTGCTGCCCGCAAGGGCCGAGGAAGGGGCAGCAGAGAAGGGGCCCATCCGTGACCTCTCAGGGAACACACACACGCACACACACACCCTCCGAATATGAAGACCTTTGCCAGCTGAAACCTTCAATTTCCCCGCAAGTGGGCAAGGGAAATGGGGCACACAAACACACACACACACACCCCTCCAGGCTTACCTGGGCTCCTCCGTCCTGTGGAGCCGATTCCCCCAGGATGCCCAGGCTGGTGTCCAGAGCTCCGAGGGGGGCAGGAAACAGATGCGGGGGCAGGAACTGGCCGGGGGCCGGAGGAGGGCTCGGGAAGGTGCCCAAAGAGGCCCTTGTTGCGCTTTGGGGCTGAGGCAGCCAAGGGGAAGAGGCGGGCACCTAGCGAACAAGATGGGCCGTCAGGCTACGAGACAGGGGTGGGAGGGGCACCGACTCCAAGGCGAAAGGGGGCGGACCCAAGATGAGGGCCAGCGGCTTCTCCAGACCTGAACCCACCACACAGGAATTTTCCCACCCAGACGTGGGAGGGGAAAAGGACTCTTCCTCCCGTTTAGGATCGGCACAGCTGCAAACCGATTCTGCAGGAGTATATTTGCCCTGCCCGCCTTGGAGAGTCACGCTATGAACATCTGAACAGGGTGAGGTCCACACAGTGTAGCATCTGGGTGCGGAGAAGGGCTGGGGGGGAAGGGGGAACCAACCGCCGGAGCCGCTTCCTCGCCGTGGGTCTGAGCAGGCGGGCTTGTCTGGGGGGCTGCCAGGGGGTCCAGCGAAACGGGAGAGGTCTGGATGGTCCAAATGGACATGGGGTTCAGCGGAGGGACACCTGCAAAAGGTACCCCAGGACAGCTCAGCCGGCTGCGTCTGAACGCCATGGGCTCCCAGCCCCAACTCTAGCCATGAGAGTCACCCTGGCAGTGAAATCAACGGCTTCACACGACACCCTAAACTCCAGATCTGGGTTAAGCAAAGACAGAAAAACTGCCCTCCCGCAAGAAGCAGGGAAACTCGCAAAGGCTCAAGGGAAGACTAGCTTGACGCCACCCGCAGAGAGAAACCTTTTGGACTTCCCCAAATCACCCGTCCAATTGGGGAAGGGAGGCAGGGGGCTGCGCCTGCAAAGAGACTCAGAGCCAGTCGGGCGACCGAGGCTCCCCGCCCTGGGCCCCCTTTGGCCGGGCCGAACAGAAGAAGCCGAATCCTTTGCTGGAACGATGGTGGGAAACGGCTCCATCGCTTCAGCCTCTCCCGTCCGAGTTGGCTTCCCTGTCCGGGTTCTTGGGGTTAGGAAAAGCTGCCGCCGAGATGGGAAGGCTGGCTACAAATAGCGAAAGTGAAAGCAAGTATACCTGGGGGGTCCTGGGTGGGGCTCGGAGGCACTTCTGGGGCGGCCAGCTGACTGCCTGCAATAAAAACACACAACCCTCTTCAGCCTCTTCAACCGCGTTTCTGCTGAAAGACAAAGTCATCCGAGTAGAAAACTGACCAGGTTAAGAAGAGCCTCGCACCTTGGCCAAACTCGGTCAGGAGGGTTTGCTCATTAGCCTGGCTCGAAAGGGCTTCTCAGTTCCTGCAACTCACCCTCACCCTAACCACCCTGGAGGATCATCAAAGCCAACTTGCTTCCACCCAGGGGTGGGATTCAATTTTTTTTACGATCGGTTCTGTGGGCGTGGCTTGGTGGGCGTGGCAGGGGAAGGATACTGCAAAATCTCCATTCCCTCCCCACTCCTGGGGGAAGGTTACCCCCAGTTCTCCAAACTACTCCAAATTTCCGCTACCAGTTCTCCAGGACTGCTCAGAACCTGCTGAATGCCACCTCTGCCTTCCGCCCACAAAGGCTCCCTTAATGGAAATTAATGGTCTTGCAATTTGAAGGGATCGTCTGTGGGGAGCATCCCGAGGGAATAATCCGAACCCACATGGCCTTCAGGGGGGGAGAGCTGGGAGGTGCCCCAGGCACGAGGGACAGGGAGGGCCTCTCAGGACCAGGCTGAGGGACTTCGAGGGTGTCTTCGGACTGTTCAGAAAAGGAGATTTCATCATGGCCGCCGAAGCCCTGAGAGGGAAGAGACCAGCTGTCCAGCTCAATTGGCTTCTGAGCGGTCAGTAAACACTCAGACCTCGGAAGGAATAAACCCCATATGCTTAAAATGGGCCACCCGGAGGAGGAGAAGGGATACAGGACCAGAACTGGGGCATTTTATCACCGGAAGGCAGCCGCACAGAGAGTTCCCCTTCTATTCGTCCACTGATTATATCCCACGGATGTTCCTGCCCATCTCACAGAAGGCAATTCTGGGTGGCGCACAAGAAGAGCCACTGAAAATCATCTTTTTTGAGAAAAAATCAGTCCACGACTGAAAACACCAATCCAGGCATTCTTTATTTCCACCACCCCACAAGTGAAGGGGGAGAAGATTCGCCTCTTGGGGCTCAGGGGAATGCAGCTCCCCCGCCTGTCAGGGAAGGAGACAAGGACGCCGGCCATGTTGGGGTGTCAAGGTTAAACTCTGGACAACGGAGGCTGGAAACAGGGGCTTGGGCTGCCTCAGGGAATAGCCGAAGGGTCGTCCCCCCCGGGGCCACGATCCAAGGCAGCCCAGGGGGAGGGCCGAGAACAGCTCCCAGCCAGGGTGGGGGAGGGAGCAGCCGAAGGAGAAGAGGAGGAAAGACGGCAAGTGGCAGTCAGGGAGGCCAGAATGAACGCTCCCGGAAACAACCAAGAGGTGGTTGGCCTGGCAGGGAGGATCCCCTACAGGGCGGGAAAGGGCACAAAACACGCCCAGCCCTGATCCGGGAGATCTGCCAGACCCATCCCTGATCTGGCCGAGAATCAAGTCGATTCCGGCAGTGGAACAAAAGCGGGGGGGGGGGTGGTGTTTCTCCTCCCTCGGGGACAGAACTTCCCTGTGGGGAATCCAGAGTCGGTCACTTCACAAGCCGGACATCAGCAGACAAGGGTTTTGCTCCTGAAGCTGCAATCCGGCGGTCGAATTAACCGCCATGTTGAGTTGGAAGGTTGGAGGGAAAAATTAAAGAGCAGCAAACCACCACAAAAAACGGCAGACCAAAATCCTTCCTTTGAGAAGCTGGGAAGGGAGGCGGAAAAGCCCCCAACACTGCAGTGGCCCTCATTCTGCCCCCCCTCCCACACACACACACAGGAACACAACCTGGACTTTTCCAACCCCAGTGAGGACATTTTGGAAACAGACCTACACAACGGATCAGCAAAGCAAGCACAACAGAGAAGTGAAGGCTTCGTAACGCCCGGTTCCCTGCTGGACTCCACAGAGCGAAAAGATGCCGCCCGAGACGGGGCAGTTTTGTTAAAAACGGCTCTGTTAGCCAAAAGGCAGAGCCTGCGGCCAGCTGGACCGGAGGCAAGGAACACGCTGCGATGGAAGACTCTTCACAACTGGCAGAACCACAACTGCCCAGAAAGCCACCGAGGAAGCCCCAAGGAGCCCGGAGAAGCCATCGTCCCAGAGGCCCACCTAAAACGGAGGGACAAGCGGTCATTCAAAGGGACAGCTGCCCGTCTCTTGCCTTGAACTGGTCCAGCCTGTCAATCAACCATCCTTGAACGTCCAGGACCTTTGAAAGACAGCTGTGACCCAGGGCAACCCGAAGGAGCAACGGGTGGAAGCCAACCGACCTCCAGAGAAACATTTTATTGGGAGGGGGGAAGCAACCGTTACACCCCAGCCAGTGGACACAAAACATCCCAGAAAGCATCCCGGCTGAGGGAAGGACCCGTCTTCCACACCAGGACCAGGAAGCTGCCCCCAAGGGCGGCCTGCTCTTCCCGCCAACTTTCAGGGAGCCGTCAGCAACACGTAGCAGCTGCAGCCAGGAGACCCTGCCCAACCTTGGCGAGAGGAAGCCCACCTCTCACAAAACCCGGCTGTTTTGATAGGGGAGAAATTCTTCTCAAGCAGCGGCCAGAGTTGATGCCATGCCTGCCCCAACCTGGGTTCTTAGGAAAGAGAGACCCTCGACTCCAGTTGGGCGAGAGATATACTTTTACTGAGAGACGAGGGGTTACAACGCAGCAAAGCCAGAACTAAAAATCTGCACCCGAAAATTCCCCCGTTAACTTTCCCTTCCTCGTTCCTCTCCGTCATCTCTCTACTACCCAGTTACGTTCAAACGAACGGTTTTGGTAGATCAAGAGGGGCCGTTCATTCCACTTCCCGGCCCCTGGCCTTGGGACAATCAGCTGATGCCTCAGGAAAGCACAACGGGTTCCCGGGCAGCTCCCTCCCCCTCCCCACAGTCCATAGCAAGCTGGCATCTACCCAAGTGAGGAGGGCACTTCTCCAGAGGGGAAAAGCAGGCAACGAGTTCCCCCGGTTCCCGAGACACGCCCAGACCCAGAGGTCTCCCCGTTTCCCCTGGCTTCCCCGCGGAGGACTTACCGAGAAGCACCGCAGGCTGGGCTGGTCCCCTGGGCGAGGCCTGGGCGTCCGCGATGCCTTGCTTGTGGCCCCGGAGGGCCCTCTTCTCCCTCAGTTCCTTCTCTATTTTGAAGAGCTTCACCATAATTAGGCAGCAATACACGTCCTGGGAAGCAACGACGGTTCCACCTCAGAGCCAGGCGGGAACTTCTCGCCCAAAGGCGGCGCCAGAAGAGTTGCAGCCGCAGAATCAGTGGAGGAGCAACTGGGAGGATGGGAGGAAGGCGGAGCCTCTGTCCTCCCCTTCCGCGTCCCAGGCCAGGAAGGAGGGCAGCGGAGGGGAGAGGGCAGGCAGCTGCGTCCGCTGGGCCAGGCGGAGGACAGCAGGGAAAGGAGCCCTCGGCCATCCCGGGTGAGCCCTGAAGGACCGGGTGATGGGTAAGTGAATTTCGCCTTGTTCTGTAACCTTTCCTGGCACAGTTGCTAAGTGAATCACTACAGTTAAGTTAGTGCCACGGTCATTCAATCTGGATTTCCCCATTGCCTTTGCTTGCCCGGAGATCAGGTGACACCCTCCCCCCGGACGCTGCAGTCGTCATAAATGCGAGTTATTTCCCAAGGGTCTTGATGCTGGCCACATGACCAAGGGGATGCAGCAACAGTCGTAACTGTGAAAAACAGTCACATCCCTTTTTTTTCTACTGCCACTGTAACTTCGACCGGTCACTAAACAGACTGTTGCAAGTCTAGAGCTGTGCCGATGGCTGTCTCCTCCCTGGGCCTCAGCAGAGCATTCAGCAGCTCAGCTCTTAAAGAGCACTCAAGACCGCCCCGCCTTCCAGCTCGAGAGGGGTCCCTGGAGGCCTCTGCCTGGGCTCTTCCCCTTGGGAGGCGGGAGGTGAGGTTGCCAGGGGAGGCACAAGGCTGGGTGGGGAGACCCCCCCCAAAGCCCAGGCAGAGAGAAACCACCTGAAGCCCAGGTCTGGCTGGTCAGTCCCGGGTGGGGAGCCCCGGCTGGGCAGGAGCGCGGGAGAAGGGGCCTCCTTCCGGGTGAGGAGGAGGAAGAGAGCCTGGCCACCTACCCAGTGGTTGGTCGACTGGTAGACGTCCCCTTCCACCTTCTTGGCGTAGGACACCACCTTCTCCACCTGGTGATCCTTCAGGAGGGCCAAGTCAGGAGTGGGGAAGATGGCATGGACCCTGCGGGGTGGGGGGGAAAGACCGCCGGCCTTCAGCAGGACTGGCAAAAACATGGGCACGGCAGCCGCCACGGCGGCCAGATGGATGGACTGTGGTGGCGGTGGTGGTTTTTTTAGATCCCAAAGGTGCCTTTTCGGGAGGTGGCAGACTCCTCTTGAAAAAGCACCCTTGGGAGAAGCATGGGAGGCCTGGAGGACTGAAAATCTCCATGGAGGTATTTAAAAAAAACACTATTTCTATAGTCCCCAAGATGCTGCAAGGAGGGTGGAAAGCCAGGAAACCCGGATTTTGTTTAGAACCCCCAAAACTCCAGCAGACGGAGATGTTGGGAGCAGAACAAAAGGCAGAGCGATCGGACACGTCTATTTTTCTTATATTTCTCCCCACGAAACATCAGAGCCTCTCCCCCCTTTTCTTTGCCATTTCCTCGCTGCCCCTTCCAAGCTGCAGCCCAGCACAGTTCAGCCCCCCCGCAGCAACCCCAAAGGGTTACTCACAGCCTCTGCACCACGTAATCACGCAGGTCCTGGTCGGTGTTTTCGTACCAGTCCTTCCTCTGCTGGAAATGGGAGTGCGGAATCGCTCGTAGCGCCAAATACTGGAAGCGCCCAGTCCCGACAGCGGGTGCCGCTTCTCCGGTTGGGGGGCTGAAAAATGGACCACAAAAGACGCCCTGCAGCTTCTCACTTGCGTCCCAGAGCCGGAAACTAAACCCTGAGTAGCAGCCTCAGGCCGTGAGGGCCGGTGGTCGTCTCAGGGCTGAGGGAAAAAGAACTAGGGGGTAGGAAGCGCTTGGGGAAACGAAAGCTAAGGACCCTTTGGGTGAACGGTCCCAGAAGTCCCACCTCGCCCCCTCCCCTACCGTCCCAGGACGGGCCTCTTACTTTGGCGCCCCAGGTGTCGCCGGGAGAGCCGGAGAGGAAAGGCCCGGCTGTCTGATTCCTCCAACCTCAGCATCCCCGGGTGCAGCGGCTGCTTGAAGAGAAGGTTCCCCCCGTTAGCTCGGAGAGAAGGAAGGCCAGCAGGTGGGCAGACAGATACACGGACAGCTACCAGGCCGGGCTCCGGAGCTCCCACCCTCCCTCTGGCCACTGGCTGCTGGGCTCCACAGAAGAGAGGGCTCATCCAAGAGGGCACCCAACAGGCCCAGGAAAAAGGACAAAGGCGAAAGGAAAGCTATGAAGAATGGCCTGGGGGTGGGGAGGGGGCCAGTTTTCTCCCACTCCTCCATCACCACCAGCACAGCTGAGGGTGGGGAGGGCTGAGTCAGGGAGATCTCACCCCAAACACAGGACTTACTCCATCCAGGGAAGGAGTCCCGTTTGCAGCAGTGCGAGGAGGAGGAATCGGATCCTGAGCGGGGAGCCCCAGAGGGGGAGGGACCCATGGATTCAGCTACGGGGGGGCGGGGGGGCTGGTCCTCCGCAAAGCCAGGCACCACCCAGGATGGAGGCAGCCAACGCAGCGCCTGTGGGAATCTCACGGAGCAATGCCAGCCTGGCTGCTCTCTCTGTCTCTCAGCCGAGGGAGGCCTGGGGCATCCCCGCCTCTTTGGAGCCCCACCGTGACCATTTGGGAGACCTGTGGGCTTCCAAGTCCCAGAATTCCCCAGCCACCACAGCTGGCTGTGGAATTCTGGGAGTTGAAGTCCACAGCAGAGGTGGTGTATTCAGCAGGTTCTGACCAGTTCTGGAGAACAGTGAGTGGAACATTTGAGCAGTTCAGAAAGCCACCTCTGACTGGCTCTGCGTCCCACTGACTCCCAGCTGGGTCTCCTTTGGTTGCCCTGCAGAGGAGAACGGAGCTGGAAAGCAGGTCAGTGGGGTGGGGAGGGAAGGGGGATTTTGCAGTATATCCTTCCCCTGCGCCCCCCACCAGGCCACACCGACTGCTAGTAACACATTTTCAATCCCACCACTGGTCCACAGGCCTTTAAGTGGCTACGGCTGGACCCCGACCATCGGGCCCAGCAGGCTCCCCTTGCCTGCCGCCCACAGCCTCCCCCCCTCACCAGCCTTTCTCCCTTGCTCTCCCCACAGATTCCCCGCCCTCCCCTGCCACCATACCTGGCTCGGGGGCGCCCCTCCTGGTCCAGCCGCCGTCCCACCTCTCCATCCTGGGGGGCGCCTTGGCCGGGGCTGCCTCCTCCGGGGGCCGCGCCCACCAGGCCTCCACCTTCCTCTGCAGGGCGAGGCAGTAGGCCTTGAGGTCCTCCTGCATCAGGTGCGCCTCCTTGAAGGGGATCTTCCAGAGCTCCTCCTGCATGGCCACCACCTTCCCCTGCAGGGCCACGGCCATCTCGGGCGGCGTCTCCTGGAGGCTCTCGCGCACCGCGTGCACCTTCTTCTGCAGCGCCGTCACGATGCCCGGCAGGGCGTAGAGGATGCGAGGCAGGCCGCTGAGGTTGTCCTCCAGGATCTCGTCCAGTGCGTGCTCCAGGTCGGCCAGCTTCTCCTGCACGGCGCCCTCCTCCTTGCGTGGCATCTTCCAGAGGGCCCGCTGCATGTCGCCAACCTTCTTCCAGAGGGGGCTCCAGAGCACATTCCACAGGTAGTAGGAGAGCACGCTGATCTTCTTCTTGGCGATCTCGCGCAGCGCCCCGCGCAGCTCCTCCGCCTTGGCCCACAGCGGCTCCCGCAGGGCCGAGCCGGCCAGCGCCTCCCGCAGCCCGTCCGCCTCGGCCAGCAACGCGTCCGCCTCAGCCAGCGGCTCCGTCCAGAAGTCGGTGGCGGCCTGGCGCAGCGCCTTGGCCTTGGCGCGCAGCAGCAGCACCTCCCGCACGGGCAAGGCACGCAGGGCCGCCTGCAGGGCCGCCAGCTTCTCCCGCAGCGCCTCCCGGTCGGCCAGCGGGGCGGCAGCGGCGGCCTCGTGCAGTGCTCGCAGCTCCTCGGCCAGCGCCACCACCTTCTCCTCGCGGTCCAGGTCGGCGGCCAGGAGGAAGACTTCCGTCTTGAGCGCCCAGACCTTCTCCAGCAGTGCCGCCGCCTCGTCCTCCCAGCGCCCACCGCGCAGGGCGCTCAGCTGCTCCTGCCAGGTGTCTGGCCGGGCCCGCGCAAAGGCCTCGTCCAGTGCCCCCAGCATGGCCAGCAGCTCGCCCGGCTCCTCGGCCTCCTCGGGGCTCCCCGGCAGCGCCTGGCGCAGCGCCTGCGGCTGCTTCAGCAGGGCGAAGACCTCGTCGAAGGGCGCGCTCTGCAGGGCGTCGCGCATCTCCTCCAGCGAGCGCCACCGCGGGGCCGCCTCGCCCTCCGCCACTGCCGCCGTGCCCTCACCCTCCTCCAGGGCGCGCAGCAGCGGCAGCAGCCCCGCCGTCTCGGCCTCCCCCTCCGGCGCCTCCTCCGCGGCTGTCGGTGGCGGCTCCTGCTGCAGGGCGGCGCTCAGGGCCTGCGCCTCCCGCCGGGCCGCCTCGGCCTCCTCCAGCGGGGCGGCCCAGAGCGCCTTCTCCAGCCAGGCCACCCACCAGCTGTCCGTCTTCTCCAGCAGCGCCAGCGCCCTCTCCAGCGGCGGCCGCAGCTCCTCCAGCGGCGCCTCGGCCAGGCAGTCCCGCAGGGCCGCCGCCTTCTGGCGCAGCGGGCCCGGCCGGCCGGCCCCGCGCAGCGCCGAGCGCGCCTCCCCGCGCAGCGCCCCGGCCCGCTCGGCCCAGCCGCCCTCCTGCTCCAGCAGCGCGTCGCGCAGGGCCAGCAGCTGCC